GGGACCCAAATTTTTGGGACCCCCACCCAAATTTGAGGACCCCATTTTGGGGACATCACCCATGGGACCCCATTTTTGGGGACCCCCCACCCCAATTTTGGGACCCCCAAATTTTGGGACCATCCCCACCTTGGTGACCCCAAATTTTGAGGACCCCAATCTCATTTTGGGGACCCCCACCCCAAATTTTGGGGACCCCATTTTGGGGACCTCCCAATTTTAGGGACTCCCCCAAAATTTGGGGACCCCCACCTTGGTGACCCCAATTTTGGGACCCCCCAAATTTTGGGGACCCCCCAATTTTGGGGACCTTCTCCAATTTTGGGACCCCCCAAATTTTGGGGACCCCCCAATTTTGGGGACCTTCTCCAATTTTGGGACCTCCCAAATTTTGGGGACCTTCTCCAATTTTGGGGACCCCCACCCAAATTTTGGGACCCCCCAAATTTTGGGGACCATCCCCACCTTGGTCACCTCCTCCATTTTGGGGACCCCCCAATTTTGGGGACCTTCTCCATTTTTGGGACATTCTCCCATTTTGGGGACCCCCCAAAATTTGGGGACCTCCACCCCAATTTTGGGACCCCAAATTTTTGGGACCTTCTCTAATTTTGGGGACCCCCACCTTAATTTGGGACCCCCCAAATTTTGGGGTCTCCAAGGTGGGACCTGGAGAACTTTGGGGCCACCAAGGTGGGACCTGGAGAACTTTGGGGTCTCCAAGGTGGCACCTGGAGAACTTTGGGGGGACCAAGGTGGGACCTGGAGAACTTTGGGGAGACCAAGGTGGGACCTGGAGAACTTTGGGGTGACCAAGGTGGCACCTGGAGAACTTTGGGGTCTCCAAGGTGGCACCTGGAGAACTTTGGGGCCACCAAGGTGGGACCTGGAGAACTTTGGGTTGACCAAGGTGGGACCTGGAGAAGATGGTGGCCACCAAGGTGGTCCAGGAGGGTCCAGCTGAGCTGTCCCAGGTGGGTTTTGAGGACCTGGAGGAGCTGGTGGGGTTCAGGAGAAGACCTCGGCCACCCAGAGCGTTGGGCAGGAGCTGGAGAAGGTCAAGGCCACCAAAACAGGTCCAGGAGAAGCTGAGGGAGATGCCGAGGACCAGGATGGGGCCAGGAGGACCAGGAGAAGATGGAGGAACCCAGGAGAACCAGGAGATGATGGTGGACACCTAGGTGGACCCAGGAGATGATGGTGGACCCCAAGATGGGTCCTGAAGGACCAGGAGAAGGTGGTGGACCCCAAAATTGCTCCAGGAGTTGATGGTGGACACCAACATGGACCCAGGAGAAGCAGGAGGAGATGGTGGAACTCAAGATGGACCCAGGAGATCATGGTGGACACCAAGATGGACCCCAGGAGGACCAGGAGAAGATGGTGGACCCCAAGCCAGGTCCTGTAGGACCAGGAGTCCATGGTGGACCCCATGGAGATCCAGGAGAAGATGATGGACCTCAAGATGGACCCAGGAGATCCAGAAGGAGAAGATGGACCCCATGATGGACCCCATGGAGATCCAGGAGATGATGGACACCAAGATGGACCCCGTGAAGATCCAGAAGGAGACGGGAGCTCCTGGAGGTCCACCAGGGCCGGGCAGACCCTGGTGAGGAGCTCCTGGAACAGCTCCTGGTGGTGCCACCCACGCGTGGGACAGGATGGACAATCGGCCACCAGCACCCACCC